TATCAGTGTTAGTAACATTATCTTTGTTGTACTCAATGAAATGCATTATTTCTCTGAAATCTTTACATCTCTGCAAAGAAAAAAAAACACAGCTGCAGTCAATACTAATTTCATCAATAGTAACTTCACCATATGTGAATGACTGTTTAAACCACATATGTCAAACTAAAGGCCTGGGGGCCAAATGTAGCCCTCGTTGACGTCTTTTCTCTGCCCCCAAAATGATATTTTAAACGTAAAATAATTTTTTCAGTAATCTTTGATTATGATGTCAAAAGTGCAACAGAGAACATCAAATGAGACCAATCAAACTCTTTTTGAGGAACCTGCAACCAAAAAAAAGATGTTGGGTATCTAACTAGAGTTCATGTAGGTTCTGAAACTGGCCATTAGTTTGAAAAAGGTTTTAAAAATCCGATACGTAAATTATGCTGGTATCAGAGGCCGATACCGATACTGGTTCGGATCGGCCCCATCCCTAGTTAAAGCCGTCTTATTATTATTATTTATTTATATTTTGATGTGGATCAGATTTCATGATCTTGTCTGTAGTTACAAAAAACAAAGTGAAGTTTGTGAGCTGCATGCATTCAGCTGGGACTGCTGCAAGATAAAGAATAAAGATAAATTTATTGTGAAACAATTATTAGATTCTTGAACATGTATGTTATCTCACTCAACAAAATTGATTGACAGCTGATGCTGATTATAACTTCATAACTTTTTCATGTCTGTGATGCTGGTTAGACATTTTCTTCAGTGATCAGTGTTTAAACAGTCTGTGTTCACCAACATTTTCACTGCACAGATCATCTATGTGCTGATGTTGGAAACGACTCCAGCCTCCTACTCAACAAGTTACTGAGAAGGCTGAGGGTGTCCTCCACCTCTCGCAGCACAGTGACTACTGGATATGGACACCAGTGCCCCCACGAACCAAAAAGTAAGAAGTGGGTAAAGATGATGGATATTTTATGCAAATAAACTGTATGATAAGTAGTTATGAATTGATATATGTTTTGTTTATTAAATAGATACTCATTGCAAACTACAAATTCAAACATATAAAAGATTATCCCTAACTGTAGCAATAAAATAAATTTACAAGTTTACTCCAGTTGTTTTCCAGATATGATATGCAATTATGAAATGAGGGTCTACACTCAAGGTAAACAAAGAATTTCTATTAGCAGCTTATTTGTGCAGATTTTGTTTCCTACTTTATGATTCTCTTTTCTCCTATAAGCAATGAGTGCATGCGGGGAATGAGAAAAATAAAAAGACAAGTAAAACATGTTGCACTTTTGTCTGAATAACAACTAACTTATATTTCTTGACAGTTCTGTGACACCATTTTATGCATTCATAGATATGTTGAATTGTCAATAGTTCAAAGTTTTGTTATAGTTCAGTCGTTATTGCTATTTATTACAGAAAATACAACCTGTTCTCCAATGTACGCCTTGATAGTTTGAACAAGTGTTGCTTTTGTTCATTTTAAATAGTCATAAATGATTCTTTAAGCTTGACAAACAACCGAGCAGTGAGGACATCATATTGACTCAATGGGTTTTACAAACATAAGCAAGTTAAATGTAAAAAACATTAAGAGTATGGCACACACCCATTAATCCAAAGCAACATGCAACCTAACAGGTACACAGGACCCACTTACATGTGTTTTAAAGCCTCAGAGTGATTTGAATACTCTTTAAAAGGTAAGTAAAGGCTTAAAAAGAGCTCAACAGATGCATGCTCAAGATAATTTAGGGGAAAGTAAGATAAGATAAGATTTACTGTACCTCCTCCTATAAGCATCACTACAACTCACTGCTTGAGCTTTCTCAAATACACAACTTTTAGCTTTGGAAAATAAAAAATGCACAAGTAGCACATGTGACTTTGTATGTTTCCAGTTTGACAAAGAAATGTGAGTAAAGGAGAAAAAAGTCTGAAGCTTGATCGTCTTGGTCTCAAGCTGACTGTTGGGAACTACTTCCAAACAAAGCCACGCGCATTGCCAAAATAGTACCGAAATACAAACGAAAACACGGTTTTATTTAGGTTTATCATGGTATGAAATATAATAATAAAAGTTTACAGTACCTCTGTGCTGTGTGTGAACACCACACTCTGTTCTCCAACTGCCTGAGTTGAGTCTGCGGCTGCTCGACCTGGCGTCAGTCAGTCGCGAGGCCGTCTCACCCTCCGCTGAGCGCCGTATCACTCCGAGGGATGCAGGAAATAGGACCTATTTTTTTGAAACGTACATGGCGCATCTTCTTCCACTGCGTGAAAACAGATTTTGTATTTATGCGTGATTCTCTTCAAAAAGGAAGATTTGTTTTCAAAACGATATAATTTTCATGGAGAATTTGTTTGTTTGAATTAGTCACAATTGATGCACTTTGGAGAAGAAAAGAAATTGGAAGCTTCTTAATTAAAATGGTTTAAATAGTTTATGTTAAAATGGGTTTTTTTTGTTTTTTTTTACTCTTTTCTGATAAGTAGCCTTGAATAGGAACAGAGGAGCAACATCCTATATTGGTATTATAATTGCATAATATTGTAATATCTTGCATGTCAAACTCATTGGCAGCATTTATCTTATAGAGAGTTGTCACTTAAAAATAGAAAAGACATTTAGCACAAAAATCATCACATGCTTCAAAGACAGGCTTATTTCACGGTGTAAAATTAATCTTATTATTTTCTTTGTATCTTATTAATTCTTTATGATAGTGCACACAAAAACATCACAAACTGTCCTCTCCTTGTGATTTAAATAATTCCACACATAAAGATCCAATAATACACGATCCCATTTTAAGTCAAATGCAAATAAATTAAGAAAAAAACTGATGCAAAACTGTTATATTATTTTTAACAAAAGGAAAGCAAAACAGATTATGTCAGAACTAAATGTAAACAATGTACTCAAAATGATGGATAGATGTTATTTTATAGTATGCGTTAGTATAATCTTCTAAAATAAATGCTATTTGTTTATTTTATTTGTATTTTTGGTGTTTTGCCATTCCTTACTCGAGTTTTCGTTTGCAGCAGTTAAAGGAACTACTTTATCTTGAAGGCAAGTCGGAGGGACACGCTCGAAATGGCATCGCGCCTCGGCGCAGGTTACGTCACGGCGCTGGCGACAGAATGTCTGAGTGAGGCGGACGCGAGCTGCACGTGAATAAATCTGGGAAAACAGTGCGTGAAGGTGGTGGTGGGAGGGAGGGGGGTTTAATACATGGAGTGTGATGATTATTATGATGATGAGGAAGGAGGAAGACTTCCCAAACTTTTAGCTGAAGGATTCTTTCTCCACACAGGCGCGCACATGAACGTACACGCACTCACACACAGGGCTTGAACGATTGAACTTCAGTCTGATTTTAGTTTTTTCTTTTATAGAACAAAAACCAAATTAAAGGAAAAAAAAAACACTTTATTTACATCTATAGTTGTCATTGTCAGAATAATCTTATACGTTACTTTTTATACACTCAGTTCATATATTTATATATATATATATATATATATATATATATATATATATATATATATA